ATTTTCATTATTTGGTTGTTGTTGAGAATATTGTTATTTTTCACAGTATAATTTATGTTAACATGTAATGGATTTATTATTTTTAAGTGAGTTTATATATATTTTAAAAGATAACCTTATTAAGAAATGTCACCCCAATAAATTCAATAAAGGATTTCTTGTCCTTAATTTCTGGTATGGTAAATATTGGTAGTGTTAGCCCACATAAAAAATATTCTGTGAGGTCCTCCTCGCTGTGTTTTAGAGTGTGAAGGAGTTCTGAAACCAAAAAGTTTGAGAACCACTGCTGTACTGTAGTACATTTTATTCCTGATATTGTTCCCCAATTCAAAGAGCAAGCCCGGGTCCCTCCAAGCTGCCCAGAAACTTATCGTGAAGTACACAGCAACCAAATCTGTCAAAGAATATAGACTAGAGCCCACGTACTGAACTTGTCAGCGCTGTCACTAAAGCCGAGTAGGGTCAGCCCAAATCTGGTTTGGACAAGTATTTGAATTACTCATTCATTTATCCAACAGACAGTTGTTCAGGGCGTCTTGTATGCCGAACATTGTGGTAAGTGATGGGGATGCAAAATAGAATAAGACAATAGCTTCTGGAAAGCAAACTTAGAAATTAAGATGAGATAGTGCCTGTCTGTGACTGCTGCTGGAACAACTGTGACTAAAAAACATTTGGAGCAGTGAGATTGTAATAATTCACTGAGAAGAAAAGACGTCATGAAATTTCAGAAAAATCAAAGTTTGAGCTAGCATGAAATTTTAATGACACTAGGAATACACAAAGTTATTTATTTAGCTTGTGTGGCTTGCCTGTAACATATGTTTTGAGAACACATGTGTGCATAACATAGGTTCTACCTTCAAGAAGCTTGCATCCTGTGGTAGTAACAGAATGAAGTTAAGAAAGTTGTGTTTTGGTAAAATAAGAAAATCATATTAAATGCTGCACAGATGTCAAGTAAGTAGGTCATAAGTGAGAGCAGAGCCAAGCAGTTTAATTTTCAGCATTGTGTTAAGGAACCGATCTAAAAAGGAAGACAATTACTGCCTAAGAAAAAGTCAGAGAAAGCAGTAAGACAAAATAGAGAATGTTATAACAGTTTCCAAAGATAACCACCAGTGAATTCAAAGGATTGTCTTTGCGCTGTGTATTGTACAGCCTTTATTTAATTCAGTGTCAGGAAAGGAAGATCTAGGAAACAGGCTTGGGAGAATGTGCACCGAATGGAGCCTTTCCCCTGCCCTTTAGTTAGACTCTTTAGTAACAAGGACAAATATGGAGAGCTAGAGTATTGGATCCAAAGATGGCAAAAGGGAGAGAAATATTCTTATAACCCTCATGGGCTGTCCTTATTCGTTGCCATAAGATAAGGAAACAATGTTCCTTCTCACAGTAGCAGGATGATTTCAAGGCCTGGGTCATACTGACGGCAGCTGGTCTGAGCAGTAAGAAAGGAGAATGTGGAGTAAGAAAAGGAGGCACCTCTTTACCCTTTTCCCAGAGCCAGGTGCACCCTATTCACTTCCCTTCTGTCATTTGGATAGAGATAGGTGTTTGGGGGCCAGCTGATTTCCCAGAGGAGAAGATCAGGATAAGTTTGAGGTTCACAGTAAAATAGGAGGAGTAAAGGAAAGAGAGAAAAGGAATGAAGTCAGAAGTACAGGGACCACTAAAATGGAGGAGCAAGAAAAATGAAGCCCTCCCTAACCCCACCACCAATGAGATCTTCCCTCTTACAGGACAAGGACCATGTGGCAAAGGCATCTACCTTCCCCAGGGAGCAAGCAAAATGCTTTACAAATAGAGCTCAGTAGATTATTAACACAAACGAACGCTGAGATTACACTTAAAAAAATAGATTAAAGCAGCAATCCAAGATGGTAAGGTTAATAGCAAAACATCTCAAAGGATGGGCTCTACTCCTGCTGGCATCCTCATGTTCTGTTCTGGGGAAGGGAAGAGTCCAGAAAATAATGGACTTGGAGACTGCTCTGGCCATGGGGTGTCTCTCTGGCCCACGTGGAGCCAAAGAGAACCTGCTTATTGGACAATAAGTTAGTAAAGGTACTTGTGTTTTTCATGTAGGGCCCCATATTTCAACTGTCTTAGTCAGTGGCTTAGGAATACACAGAGGTGCCATGATAGCTCCTGGTCTGGCTAACTCAGACTGCTGTTTCTGGTGGGTTGAAGCAGGATTTTGAATGATGTTAACAATGGAGTATGTTGTGCATGAAGATCAATTAATTCAAGTGTCATCTCTCCTTTCTCAGAAACATGATTCCGGTGACAGAATTCCGGCAGTTCTCAGAGCAGCAGCCTGCCTTCCGTGTGCTGAAGCCATGGTGGGACGTGTTTACCGACTACCTTTCAGTGGCCATGCTGATGATCGGTGTGTTCGGATGTACTTTACAGGTAGGTGCTAGACTCCTGTCAGAATGGGAGCCAGACCAAGACAGCCATTGAAACCTCTTAAAAGAGTTGGCTGGGTGATTTTAGACCAAGTAAATATTAGTTGCTCTTCTCTACTTGTGTATGTGTTTATAATCATGGCAGGGAGCCTGAAATACTGATTTACTGAGCTCTCCTAATAAGGTAAATATGGTACTCATAAGGTTTCCCTAAGCACAAACAGCAGTCGACTAGAGTCAAGTAATATTCGATGTTACTAACATCAAAGGGAGTCCCTTATCTTTCAAAGTTGGCTTTATAGTAAAATATATCATGTGTATACACAGTGCCACTTATATTGCCAAAATGGAACTTTCTTTTCCTTACCCCTTGTACTAACCCCTAATAAGATTTTCTGGAAGAACGTTTTAATGAGATATCATTATTTTACCCAATGTTTAGTTCTGAATTAAAATGTAACGCAGTCAAAATTTATTCTACATAGATGCTATGTAATCATATTTTGAATCCAGATTTTTTTGTGTGTACCTACTATGTGCCGGGTGCCATACTTTGAGGACGTATATGGCTATAAGCAGTTCATTTCTAGGGGAAAAATAAGCCAGCAATCAAAAAAGGTTGGGTTATACAATGACAAAGGCACCCCTAAAGCACTAAGGGAGCACGGGCAGGTCGGTGGGGTGGGCACTTGCTTGGGAACAAGAGAAAAGGGGATGGTTGTATTTAAATTTGGAACCAGCTAAAGTTAGAGAGAGGGAGATGAGGGTGGGGGGAAGTGCCAAGGATGAGGACAGAAAGTCTAAGTCATGGATGTAAGAAAGAACATGGCATCTTTGGGAAACTGTCAGTAGAACTGGCTCTCATTATGCAATCAGTGTGAGAGTTGAGGCCATGCCTGTGAATGGAATCACCCAAGAAGAATGTGGTGAGTGAGATTTCATTAGGTATAACATTAAAGAGTGAATGAAGGGAAAAGGGGGACATCTGAAGACGACTGAGAAGGGGCCGCTGTAAGAACCAGTAGAAACCAGGAGAAAGGAGGGGCTCAGAAATCAAAGGCAGGTATGGCTTATGGTGGCAGGCAGTACAACTAACTCATGGACGAAGAAGAGAAAAGTAGCAGATAGGTCACTAGAAATCTTAGTTTCAGTTGGAAAAGAGAAAGGAAGTTAAAGTAAAAGCCAGGGGGGGTGGGGGGTGTAAATGTAACTTTCAAGTAAATCAGCTGAGAGGAAGAGGAACTTGGAAGAGGGGGGAACAGCTAGAAGTGGTACAGAGGACAAATAAAAGCCTTTCTAAAGTTGATTTTAATAATAGTTAACACAAAGTGCATCCTATGTGTCAGGCACTCTTCTGAACATGTTACACATGTTTTAACTCGTTTCATTCTCATGGCAAATCTGAGATGGAGGTACTATTATTATCCCTATTTCCAGATGAGACAACTAAGGTACGGAGAGGTTAGGGAAACCTCCCAAGGCGGGTGGCAAGGCTCTTATTCAAATCCAGACAGTTTGGCCTTCAATTCCCTGTTCTTAATCCCTAACACCATGCTGCCTTTTATTTGTCAGCTGAACAGATTTTGCCCTTCCCCATCCCCCAAAAAGGATATCAATGAAAAACTAGAGTTTGAAAGAGAGAAAGGGCATAAATTCATTCATAAATAAAATAAATATTGGTTGAAGAACCTACTGTGTGCCAGACAGTGTTCTAGGTACCAAGAATTACCAATGCAGGAGGAAAAAAATAAAAGACAAATTTCCCAGCCTATGTGGAAAGCAAGCAAAATAAGGAAAGTTTAGTAAATGATATATATTAGAAGGTAATAAGACCAATGGAAAAGAAAATAAAACATACGAGGATGATAGGAGGTCCCAGCAGCTGAGATTAGGAGTTGCAGTTCTTGAATAAGGAGGCCTGGGAAGGCGTCACCGAGAAGGTAACTTTGACCAAGGAGTTGAAGGAGCAAAACAGGAGCAAGCCATGCAGATGTCCAGGGAGGAGACTTCCAGGCAGAGGGGACAGCAAGAGCAAGGGACACATAGACAGAGGGCTCACAGGACCATTCCCCATCTGGAGGAGAATTTGACTTTCTGAACATTCTAGCTCTGTTATCCTGGAGACCTAACAAAGGAGGGATGTTGTGGTGTCTCTAGGCAACACATCTTATGGTATAAATGACTGCTGTCTGGTGAATGCATGTGGGCTGGGGAATGATAAACACCCGGTAGGAAGGCATACCGTGGGACCTCTGTGATTGTGATGACACTTATAACTGAGCATGTGTCACTTCCTCTGACACATGGAAGATGTTATCTGTTGAGTTACAAGAGATATTGGCTCCTTTGGAGATAGGGCTTTTAGGCCCAGGTAAATGCAGAATGCCCCCTATGGTGGATCCCTTTTCCTTGCACCTGAGACGATCCAGGGAGGAGAGGCTCGCGGGGAGGCCAGCTCCTGGGCAGTAGTGTAGAGCACTACACAAGAGAGTTGTGACGATCCCCCCAAAGGAGGAAAGCCTGATGCTGCCTTGCTGGCAAGCTGACAACCGGGCCTGTGTCTTTCTAAGTGATTCTGGTACCAAATGAGGTGTATGATGATCATATAAGTCTGAATGTGGAGGTGATCCTAGAAAGACCCCAGGTGATGTTATAGCCTGAAGCAGGGTGCCCCTGGCATGTGACAGGGGAAGCCAGGAGGCCCGTGTGCTGCTTCAGCGTGAGCGAGGGAAGGAGTCGAGAAGGAGGCCTGAGGGGTGCCGGAGGAGGTGAGGCCTGTAGGCCACTGTAGAGATCTTGGCTTTGCTCGGAGTGAGTGAGATGGGACATGTTTGGAGGATTTTGAGGAGAGGGTTGCCATTATGTGACTTAGATTTTAAGACCACTCTAGCTGCTGAAAGTGCAGTGTAGGGGCAAGGACAGAAGCAGGGTGATTATTTATAATAGAAGGCTAGTGCAAGTATCCAGGCAAGACATTAGTCAGATGGCTTGGACTAGGATGTGAGGTATGAGAGAAAAAGAGAAGTCAAGAATAACTCTAACAGCGTTAGGTCTAAGCAACTGGGAAAAGCTTTTGAGCATGTTAAGTGTGAGCTATGTGTTAGGTGCCCAAGTAGAGATGTTAAGGAAGCAGTTCAATAGAAGACCCAGGAGTCCAGGGAAGTGAAGGATAGCCGCCTTCAGGAGGAAGGAGGTGATGGATCCCGGTGGAAGGATTACCCTTGACTTGGATGGAGGGAGCATCTTCCACCAACGTGAGAATGGTGGCTACAGACGCACTGTATTGGGGGCAGAGGGACGAGAGAGGCACAGAAAGATGGGAGTGTATGCCTTACGGCTTCTGGGAAGTAGAACGGGACACATCGCTGGGAGTTGTGATGGTAAGGGAAGTAGCAGAATGTGACAACAAAGAAGGTAGTGGAGCAGGGTCCTCAAGGAGAAGGGCAGAAATTTGGAATGGCCAGCTTGGGAGCTCGTAGGAGGAGGTGACATAGATCAGCAGGAAGGCTGGACATCGGCCCTACTTTATTACTGGGCCATAGCACCCAGCGCTGTTTGCCACAGGGTCTGCTTGGCAAACACAGGAACCATTTCTCTTGTTTACATATTCCACGGCAGGATGAAATGCAGACAAGAAAACTCACAGAAAATCTTTAAGAACTCATAGTTAACTTGGAACAAAATGAATGAACACGAGAATGTGTACCTATGGAAATATTTATAATGAGCACCATTTAGGAGATGTGCAGGAGGGAATTCAAGCACAGCGTAAGCATCTTTTCCTGTACCTTGGTCAGAATCGTCTTCCCGGACCACACACAGCCCCATCGTGTGCCTCTGCTGTACAGCACCTCTTGGCTCTTCCCACTTGGCGCCCAGCACCACCGCCACCACCTCCCATGTTCAGTGCTGCTTCTCTGATAGAGACCTAACCTGGACCCTTCACGCACAGACCCATTTCCTCCCTGCAGCCTTTAAAAGGAAAATGGATGCCAGTTGACTGGGTACAGGACATGTAGTCTGAGATGTCAAGGTTCTAAAAAAAGTGAGATGCCCCAGAGAACTATCGCATCAGAATCTGAAGGCTACCAGGCTCACAATGCATATGGGGTGGGCCATTGAATTCAGCAAACGTCTCTCAGCACCAGTGACTTATCAGGCATTGTGTGGGGTGCCAGCCACTGAGAGAAAAATACAGCACAGCCCCTGCCATCAGATCACTAATAGTCTAAAGACCATAGAAATACTACATAAGCAATACCATTCAGTGTGTAAGTGCCTTAATGATGGTAGGCTTCAAGGGCTTAAATATGATGTTATCATCTCAGCTACTGGGAGTTAGGGACGTAAGGAGGTAAAAATTGAGCTAAGTCTCAAAGAATGAGTATACAAAATCAAAATGCATATTAGAAAAAGAAGAATGGAAGGAAAAAAATCAGTGTACACAGATGTAGTATGATCATGTCACAAAGCCCTCATTGATTGGCACAGATGGCATTTTAGGGGGCATCCTGCAATGGATGGGAGATTCCCACACAAGACAAGAATTGTCCTACCCAGAAAGCTAATAATAGCATTTCCATTGAGCGACACTGGTAAGGGAACCTGTGCTAGAATCTATATGTACTTTAGCTCCCAGAGCCAACCTGTGGAGGTAGATTAGTCCCGTTTTTCAGATGAGAAGTCTGAAGAATGGCAGGTTCAGTGACTTGTCCGAAAGCCAAGAGGGAGGCAGCAAGGGTTCAAGTCTGAGGCTGATTTCTCCAGCATGTGTCTTGCACCCCTCTGCACGCTGCTGTGCAATATTATGAAACCATTACAATTGCACAGATTATGTGGCCAACTGATGGCTTATAAAATAGGATTTTAAGTATAAAAACAAACACAAAATGACTAAAAGGGAAAGTAGAAAGTTAAAAGTAAATTTTCTTATTTACAGGTTAGATTTTTTTGAAAGACTATTTNCTCTTGATTGAATTTGAAATACCATCTTTCCAATGACAT